TTCCTCCATGCAGAGTTTTTGCCGGGGAAATAGAGGAGAAATGGCTCCCCAGATTGCCTTCTCCTTCTTGGGGAGCCTGAATTTATTCTGGGGTGGTGGTGGTGCAACATGGCTTGTCTGGAGCTTTGATTCTCACCCACCCACCCACTCATTCACTCACCTTGCCTTGCATGTAAAGGAGAGGCAGAGCAACATGGGACACCGGTCTCTTCCCTTCCCAGGACTCCTACCCTGAAGACTTTGTTAGGTCTGCAGATGCATGCCTCCAGCGCGAAACCCCTTTACAGAGAAGATCCCCCTCTCCCCAGCCTCCTGAGTAATGTCTGGATCGCTCTCCTTTGCGAGACGGGAAAGCTTCCGCAAAGAGAGAACCTTGAGAAAAGGATCAAAACGGACGGGCGCATGCTCAGTTCTTCGCTGACGCTTGGAAGCTGCCAGCCCTTCCAGTACGTGCAGAGGGAGCCTCCTGGCGGGTTTTCTGCAGAATGCAGGCGGTGCTTAAGAGCGCGGGGAGGCGGTGGGGAGGAGTGGAAAGAGGGACTCTCTTTTGCCTCATCTAACCAAACTTGGTTTCTTCATATTGGTCTGTGGAGACGTAAGACACACAATGCATTCCAGCTCTATTCTATCTTATGGAAAGTATTCAGAAACCCCCCCTTTCACTTTTGTCAATTTTGTTATGCTGCATGCAGCTTGATTCTAGAATAGAATAGAATAGAATAGAATAGAATTGGAAGGGACCTTGGAGGTCTTCTAGTCCAGCCCCCTACTCAAGCAGGAAAACCTATTCCATCTCAGACAAGTGTGGCTATCCACTCTCTTCTTAAAAACCTCCAGTGATGGAGCACCTACAATTTTTGAAGGTAAGCTGTTCCACTGGTTAATTGTCCTCACTGTTAGGAACTTTCTCAATTCCTCTCTTTGATCAGTTTCCAACCATTGTTTCTTGTCCTGCCCTTTGGTGTTTTGGAGAATAATTTGCCTCTTCTTTGTGGCAGCTCCTCAAATACTGGAATACTGCTATCATGTCACCACCATTTCTTCTTTTCTTTAGACTAGCCAAACCCAAGTCCTGCAGCCCTTCTTCATATGTTTTAGTCTTCAGGCCTTTGATCATCTTAGATGCTCTTCTCTGAACTTTTTCCAAGGTCTCAGCATCTTTTTTGTAACATGGTGACCAAAATTGGCTGCCGTATTCCAGGTGTGGTCTCACTAGGGTTTTATAAAGCGGTACTAATACTTTGCGTGATCTTGATTCTATGCCTCTGTTTATGCAACCCAGGATTGTATTAGTTGTTTGGCTGCTGCTGCACATTGCTGGCTCATGGTCAAGTGATTGTCCACTAGAGGGATTTGCTTTTGCCTCATAAAACGTAATTTGGTTTCTCCATGTTGGTCTGTGGAGAGATTGGTAAATTGAAATAACTAAGCGAGACAACCAAATGCACAGGTATAGAATAGGTGGTATCTAGCTCAAAAGCAGTAGCTGTGAGAAGGATCCTGGAGTCCTAGTGGACAATCACTTAAACATGAGCCATCAGTGTCCCAAAGATGCTTTTTCAAGAAGCAACTGGACTTTCTTGTTTTTTCTTTGAAGACGTTTCATTTCTCATCCAAGAAGCTTCTTCAGCTGTGACTGGATGGTGGGGAATGGAAGGATTTATAGTATTTAATGAAGTATAAATCCTTCCATTCCCCACTATCCAGTCAGAGCTGAAGAACAGCTGTAGGATGTGGGTTTGGCTAGTCTAAAGAAAAGAAGAAATAGGGGTGACATGATAGCAGTATTCCAGTATTTGAGAGGCTGCCACCAAGAAGACAGGGTCAAATTATTCACCAAAGCACCAGAGGGAGGACAAGAAACAATGGTTGGAAACTGATCAAAGAGAGAGTTCCTAACAGTGAGGACAATTAACCAATGGAACAGCTGGCCCATGGGTGCTGTCACCAGAGGTTTTTAAGAAGAGGCTACACAGTCACTTGTCTGAAATGATATACCGTATTTTCCGGCGTATAAGACGACTTTCTAAACCCTGAAAATCTTCTCAAAAGTCGGGGGTCATCTTATACGCCCAGTCATCTTATATGCCGGAAAATACAGGTATTCTATTTTATTCCTTTACACATGTGGTTTGGCATATTACTCATCAAGTTTTCTCTCCCCCCCCCTCTCTCGCTCAAACTCTATATTTTAACTGGAAAAGTTAGGGGTCGTCTTATACGCCCAGTCGTCTTATACGCCGGAAAATACGGTAGGTTCTCCTGCTTGACCCGGGGGCAGGACTAGACCTTCAAGATCCTATTTCTATTTCTACTTCTAATTTCTATTTTTTTCTATTTCTATTATTTCTATTTCTGCTTCTGCTTCTATTCCTGGATGAGAAGCGAAACGTCTTCTAAGAAAAAACAAGAAAGTCCACTTGCCTCTTGAAAAAACATCTTTGGGACAACCATGATTTGGATGACGGAGAACCTCCATAGACATGAACCATGGATGAATTCTTGCAATACACTCCAGGTCCATCCGCAGCTGCTTTCCTGCAAAGCCACTTCTCTCTCTCTCTCCCCCTCCAATATTTGAGGGGCAGCCACAAAGAAAAAAAGGGGGTTCCATCTATTCTCCAAAGCACCTGAATGGTATGTTACCTGCCTGAGCAGGGGGTTGGACTACATGACCTCCAAGGTCCCTTCCAACTTTACTATTATTATTTCAAGAAAGTCTTGAAGTGGGTAAAGGACTCCATGCGACACAGCTCCAAAGTTTTACCTCAGAAATGTCAGTTTATGTACGATTGTTTGCAAAGGCAGCTAACCCTTACTTCTCCTCATTCTCATTCCTTAGCACCTCTTCCTTCTTTCTTGGGATAAAAAGAAATATAAGGTCTAAGTTGTTTTGATTGCTTCCTTTAATTCCTCCCCCCCCTTTCTTTTTGTACAGCCAGTCCTCACTTATCAACTGCCCTATTTGGTCACAAAAGTGCTGAAAAAGTAACTCTGCAACTGGTTCTCGCATTTACAACCATCTCAGTGTCTCTGTGCTGAGGGCCATGTAGGATAAACTTTGCAATACTTGCAACATGGGTTTTTGTAGTACTGCTGCACTGGCTAACAAACCTGGCTTTACCTTCCAATTTAGCTCCCGTTTTGAACATAAGATACAGGCAATCCTTGACCTACGATCAAAACTGAGTCCAACATTTCTGTTGCGGACCGAGAGTTGAGTTTTGCCCCACTTTACGACCTTTCTTGCCACCGTCGTTAAGTGAATCACTGCAGTTGTTAAGTTAGTAACACAATTGTAAAGTGAATCTGGCTTCCCCATTGACTTTGCTTGTCAGGTCACAAAAGGGGATCACGTGACCCTGGGACACTGCAACCATCATAAGTATGAGTCAGCTGCCAAGCGTCTGAATTTTGATCATGTGGCCATGGGGATGCTGCGATGGTCAAGTGAAAAACAGTCACAAGCAGTGGTGGGATTCAAATATGTGAACAACCGGTTCTGTGTGGATGCCGCTTCCGGAAGTCCATTCTGGGCCTGGGCAACCAAAAAATTAGCTACCAGTTCTGCCGAAGTGGTGCGAACTGGCTGAATCCCACCACTGGTCACAACTCCCTTTTTCCAGTGGGTTGTAACTTCAAACAGTCCCTAAATGAACTCTTGTATGCTAGCTGTAAGATTCTCCTTAATCATCTACTTCAACTTCCTGTGCAGGGATCCTGGAGAGATGGTCATCCACCCTTGTTTATACACATCCCCCAAAGGAGTCCCTTCCATTGGAGTTGAAGTCCACAGATCTTAAAGTTGCCAAAGCTGAGAAACACTCATCTATGATTCTTTTGTATTGTTTTTGTGTTACAGCAGGGGTGTCCAATCTTGGCAATTTTAAGACCTGTAGACTTCAACTCTCAGTCATGTTGGCTGAGGAATTCTGGCAGTTGGAGGTCCACAAGTCTTAAAAGTTGCCAAGGCTGGACAACTCTGTCTTACAGGGATCTCCCACCATATAGTATCAACCTTGTTAACTCTCAAGACTCTTTTTTTTCTATGTATTCAAAATAGACTATGATTAATATACAGATGTGTGTGTGTGTGTGTGTGTGTATTTATATAACAGGCATCAGCATTTCATTTTTTAATGTGTGCATATGTTCACAAAAAAAGTGACACTAAAGCCTATCCTATCCTATCTTGTCCTATCCTATCCTCTGTAAAACTGATGTATGCTTCATTATTTTATAGAAATGTTGACAATCAGTGGCTGATATCCAGTTTATGGTCTATTTGATCAGAAGAAACTCCTCCCCCATTCAGGAGTGAAGGCTGTTTTTCCTGCTTTTATGTTATTTTATTTATGTTGGGTCCCATGGATTTCCAAATGTGTCTTTTTCTCATGCTCAATTATTTGTAATATCACAATACTCAACTCTTCAATCTTTACTCTCCTGTGCTTCAAAAAAACAGAAACTCACAAGAAACTTAAAGCACAAACTCTTCAAGGTTTTAAGACCGAGTATGTACGAACCGAAGCGAATAAATCTAGTATTTCTATGGATTAGTACCCGAGTGGATCCTTCTCCTGGCAGAATCTCTTTCCATACTTCATGCACTTATATGGGTTCTCTCCCGTGTGGATCTTGTTGTCAATTAAGGTTACGATTACTCCCGAAGCTCTTCCCACTCCACACATTTGTAGTGTTTCTCCGTGTGGATCCTTTTTATGGGAAGTTAGGGACCTATTTTCACAGAAAGTCTTTCCACATTCCAGGCATTTGTAATGTTTCCCCCCCCCCCCATGTGAATCCTTTTGTGAATACTAAGGGTCCCGTTTTCACAGAAGTTCTTTCAGCTTTTTCCCATGTGGATTGTTTTGTGAGAAATGAAATGACTTGACTGCAGCTCTTTCCACACTCCAGGCATTTGTATGGCACGCCAGAATGGATCCTTTTATGGGAAGTAAGCTGAGTGCTCCATCTGAAGTTCTTCCCACATTCCAAACATTTCTCCAGTGTGGATACTTTGCTGGGAAATAAGTGAGTTGCTTTGTTCAAATATTTTCCCATATTCACTACCCTGATATGGTTTCTCCCCTGTGTGGATTTTTTTATCGAATGTAAGATGACTATTCCACCAGAAACTCGTTCCATATTCAAGACCTGGGTAGCTTTCTGTCGTCTGCGGGACAGAAATGAGTGTAGAGCTTTGACTAAAAGTCTTTCCACACTCCGTGCGTTTATAAGGCTTCTCTCCTGAATGGATCCTCATATGAATTTTAAGGGACCTGTTTTCGCTAAAGCTCTTCCCGCACTCCATGCATTTGTAGGGTTTCTCTCCAGTGTGGATCCTTTTGTGGGAAATAAGGTTGCTGCTCCGACTAAAGGTCTTTTCACACTCCGTGCATTTATAGGGTTTCTCTCCAGTATGGATCCTTTTATGGCATGCAAGGGAATTGTGTTTGCTGAAGCTTTTCCCACACTCTGTGCATTTGTACGGTTTCTCACCTGTGTGGGTTCTTTTATGAGAAATAAGGCTACAGTTCCAACTGAAGGTCTTCTCACACTCTGTGCATTTGTAGGGTTTCTCCCCTGTATGGATCCTTTTATGGGACGTAAGGTAACTCTTCTGGCTGAATCCTTTCCCACACTCCATGCATTTGTATGGTTTCTCCCCTGTGTGAATTGTTTTATGGGAAGCAAGATGAGCCCTCTTACTGAAGCTCTTTCCACACTCTGTACATATATACGGTTTCTCCCCTGAGTAAATCCTTTTATGGGAGATCAATTGACTGCTTTGACTAAAGCTTTTGTCATCCTCCATGCGTTTATAGAGTTTCTCTCCGCTGTGGATCCTCTTATGAGAAGTAAGAGACCTAATTTCCTGGAAGCTTTCTCCACACTCCATGCACTTATAGGGTTTCTCCCCGGTATGGATTCTTTTATGGGAAATAAGGTGGTTCCTCTTTCTAAACATCTGTCCACATTCCGTACATTTATAGGGTTTTTCTCCTGTATGGATCTTTTTATGGAGCGTAAGGGAGCTCCTCCGACTGAAGGTCTTTTCACACTCCATGCATTTATAGGGCTTCTCTCCCGTATGGATCCTTTTATGGTATATAAGGAAACAGTTCTTGTTGAAGCTTTTTCCACACTCCATGCATTTGTATGGTTTCTCACCTGTGTGGTTCCTTTTGTGGGAAATAAGCAGACAATTCCATCTGAAATTCTTTCCACATTGTGTGCACTTGTAGGGTTTATCTCCCATAGTGCCCTTTTCAGGTAAGGGAAGAATAATGGTCTCATTGTAATCCTCCTTGTATCCATATTGTTCTGTAGAATGAGTTTGGTAATGGTTCTTTATATCTGATTTCGCCTTGATTTTTTTCACTATGTTCTCCAAACACTCTTTGGGGTTTTTTCCAGTTTGATTTTCCTGAGCAGCAAAATCATTTCTACTCCAAATAGGCTGGGAAACTAAGCTTTCCTTATTTCCATTTTTTGATACATTTCCTAGGCCACTTTTTGTTTCCTTCTGAATTGCCATTTTTTCTGCTTCCCTCATGGGCCAAGTTGTCTGGAGTGTTATCTCGCAAGTCTCATTCTGCTGGTCATACGCTCCTTACAAGAAAACAAAAGTAAGTTGTGGTGAGGTACAAAGAGGTAAAGGTTAAGGAATAACAAGCGATTCTAAACATCTGGACGGAAGGTTGACATAAGCAGCATTTTGAAAGTCTGTCATGTTGATCAATATAAAAGGTAGTCCAAAGTTTATTGAACTCTGAATTTTGATATAGATTATCATCAAGTTCATAAGTGAAAATTTATAATGTGGAAATGCATGGTTCTTTTTTTATAAGAAATAGAATTCTTCAAAGGATCCATTGATTTTAGTAGAAGGAATCTATGCACCACAGGGTTGAACTGTGGTGTCCTTGGTACTCTCTAAGGTTAGTAGTTTGTTGCATATGTTTATTACTCAACTAGGTAACTAGCTCTGATCTTGTTACTTAGTTGGGTAATGAAACATCTGCAACCAAAACTCAGAAAGCACCAAAAACTCCACAGTTCCACTAATTTTAAACCAAAACCATATCAATGTTGTTACATTTCCTCCCCCTTCATTAATCAATTCTCCTTCCTTGTTATATTGCTATGAATTCTTAGCAGAGTTCATATAGAAGATTGAGGAACCATGGGGTATCCAGAGAGCAGATAGTAAGGCTAGTTATTGAGCCCTTGTCATGGTCAGATCATTCTCTCCTAAGGATGGACTTCCGGACCGCTCCCCCTCGCCGCAGGGAGACGGAACCGCCTAGATGGTTCCGTCCCAGGCGACTGATGGACCCTGAGAGGTTCCTGATGGAGCTTGGGCCATATCCGGAGGACCTGGTCCACGACTCGGCGGAAAATCAGGCGGCGGCTTGGGAGACAACTGCCGCTGCAGCATTGGACCGAGTCGTGCCTTTGCGGCCTCTGACCCGACGTAGATCTCGATTGGCTCCCTGGTTTGCCGAGGAGCTGAGAGAGATGAAACGTCGGAAAAGATGCCTAGAGAGATGTTGGAGGGCCAGCCGAACCGAACCCG